CCACTTGCTAATAAACGCTTAAAAACAACAATAACTTTCATCATTTAAATAGTTTTAAAACTTTTTTGGAATAGGGTTAACTTAATGTTTAAGTTCCATGTTTAAGAAATGGAAAACATACAAATCTTCGCATTTCATGGGAACCTGAGACTGCAATCACAGCCTTCAATTTTTGAATTGCAGAATAATTAAATGCATGCACTATCTAGTATATATGAGATATCTTTGGTCCATAGTCCACCATGCAGTGCAGAATAGATTATTATATAGAACCTTCAAGACAAAAGCTATGTTTACAATATTTAAATGGTGAATCTCTCTGATAGTCTGATAGAATTATTGAACACAAAAATCAAAATAGTGATATACAGGAGCACTTGATTTACATTTGTTATAAAACTATTGATTTTAGTCAATCTATTGATTTAGTCAACAGTCAAAATTAGTTTAAAATTCGTAGGCTATATAAAACAATTCAGCACATTGTCATTATTCCACACCTTCCCAATATTTATCAATTAATAATTATACGATTAATACGAATATTAGAAATAACGTGTCAACTAAATTGTTTACTTGGAATTCAATTTTACAGTAAAATTTGCTTACCTAAACCATACTATATTGGCAGAGCATTGGACCATTGGGCTAGTATTCCAAAAGTCGTAGCTTGCCCGGTGTAGATATACACTAAGAGTAACATCACAAACATCATATAATATCCACACTTTGAATAAAAGTCTACCACTCTGGCTGTGAATTGCTGTGATTTAAATGTTTTGAATTTCAAATTTGGCTGTGCTCCCACAAATCACAATCAAATTTTCGAATTCCTTAGAAAAAGCTCGAAAATTCCTCATATTTCCATAAAATTGATTAAGACATTGTTTCTGACTAAAAACTGAAAACATTTGATTAAAATATTCCTATTTTCAAGGATAATTCCTTAAAAGTGAGAGCACTGACGTTTGGATCATATTATTCATGTATTTGAAACGGATTTTTGGCGATGATCAGATGAGCGATGATCAATTTTACCCGGACCGGGCTCTTGAGCTCGCTCTAGGTGGGGGGGGGGGGTATAGAGGCAGGTGCGCTATACAGTTTAATTAACCACATATTGACATATATAGCTACATATATAGCGTGGAGCCTGAGTTCTTAAACGTGCGGAATTGTTGACAGGTATATCTATAATACATACATATCTGATATATAAAACTATATGCGGTATGACAGTTCGATTTCACAAATTTGTTCTGTCCATGAAACGAGTGAATCTTTATCTGTGCGCGTTGCCTTACAGTTTTTCGTCTTGGTGTATGACTACCTGACGCGAATACTTGCAATCTTTTTACGCAAAATTAGATGCCGCCGTCAACGAGCTATAATGAAATAATAAACGTAATAAAACAGCTTTTACATGAGTAAAGTGTCGACGCGTTGTTCAATTGCATATATATAATCTTAGAGTCAAAGAAAGATAACTAGCCACGATATGAATATTATTAATGATGCTCGTGATGCACATGCGAATGCGATATATAATAATATCGGCGCAAACCGGGCTAACAAAGCCAATTTTTTATACTCATTGGCCGACCATGGGAGGGAGGATATCAATGCATATTAATCAATGTTTAAGTTTTCAGAATAAACATCAATCGATATCTAATGAATAGCAATGTACCATATCTCTAAAAGTTACTCTCGGTACAAAGTAAACAAATTCTGTGTCTAAATGCCCTTAGAATATTGATAAATTGTAAAATAAGTTACCTGCATTGGCATTATAAACGTAGTCTAGTGACTACCAAGTCCAAATTTGTATCCCTTTTCAAATTTTCCATGCATAAATCTTTGCAGAGTGTCTGCAAAAAAATAGTATTTCGATTAGCTAAAATAAAATCTTCGCACTTTTTGTTATTTTTTCTAATTTTGCGGAAACAATAGTTTGGAATTATTGAAAATAGTTTGGAACGCGTTATACTTTTATTGCATGGAATTTGTATAATTGTAACATATATAGTTCTAATTTTTATGTATCCTGATCCAACCTCGTACCCAGTGGCAAAATGTTATAAATATCAATAATTATAACAACGCATCTTTGAAAGTTCTTATACATACGTTATATGTATGTTGTTAATGTTTCATATTATAGACTTTGTTTTGCCATGGTGGTCACTAAATGCAACTCAGTTGGGTGCAAGCTAGCCTCCATAACGCAGACCGTGTTTCGCTCGCCCGAGACGAAACACAGTCTGCGAATCCGAGAGAGAATTCTATTTCAGTGACGTAATGCCTTCGTATACGTTGCGTGGATATTTTGTGGGCTTAAAAACAAGTGCGGATCCAAACAGATTCCAGCGATGCGAATACATCGGTCAAAATTGAGAAATCATGTTGCTTGAAATAATATATAGACATATTATGGTGTCGTAACTAGTCAAGCACTCAGTAATAGAATATCTTTCTAGCTATCAAATCGCAAATATTTGCTTAAAATTGACTCCATGTCAGGAATACGCTATTTAGGATGAAATCCAATTTAAATAGTCTCCATAACAGTAGAAATTGTCAAAATAAGTCCAGTATGCGACGTGCGATCGCAAATGTGTACTTTCTGTTATTTACTTTTTATTTTGCGACACTTATTAAGCGTGAATAATTTCGCGACAAAATATGTTATTTTTTAACGCATCTTTGACGTCACAGTAGAAAGCCAATGGATTACCTACATCACAGTAGATTTGATTTGCATCCATTTTCAGCCATTTTGTATCAGTGAATACATCCGTCCCGAGTCCTTTTCTACTGTGACATCATCAAATCTATTGTTTTAGAGCCCTATACGTCACGGTAGATTTGTCCGCTGAGCGATGCATCGCATGCAGATTTATTTATTTATTTATTTATTAACTTTACAACCAAACATAAAATAGATTAAACCACTACATAATATGGTTGAAGGTATGGTCAACAGGACATGAATAGCCCCGCCATGTGAAGACCGACATTAAAATGCATTAGATTGCGGGCGCTCGCATCGGTCCACTGATGCAAATTGCAAAATAAAATCTACTGTGATGTAACGAAGCATTCGAATCGATTTAACTCATGACGGGAGGGAAGGCAAAGACTATATGCAAATGTATGAGACAAATAAATGTCCAATTCCGATCCTTTGCGAAGGAATATCCCTCGAAATCGACGGAAAACAAATAATTTACAGCCGAACTAATTACCAAGGCATGGAATGAATCTAATCTTTCAAAAATTGAAGAAAATTTATACTGTGAAATGCCCACTATAGTCAACTCGAACTGTGGGCTCTAAAGTAAGTGAAATTTATCTATATTTTACATTGTAGTACATTGTTCAGTTCAAGAAGTGTATTAAGTTACATTACATTTGTTCTCAAAGTATTAATAATAAATCACACTTGCATGTGTTTGTCGAAATATTTATAATACCGCTCGTGCATGCTACCACTTGACGTTTGCCATATTTTAACTGATTATTATTCTATACATTTGAATTTCATATAGAAGCCCACAACGGATGTCATGAAGATTACATTAGATCTATTTTGAATTTGTCTTCCTTCAGCACATTATAAAATACCTCGGAAATAAATTGAGTTTAATAGAGGCGCAATTATACCTTATCGCTACAACACTACAGGCAAACAATCACCCAAAATCTCCGGCTGCCTTTTATTTACAAAGAATAGTTTACAAAGTATTTCAAACAATGTGTCAGTCTTGCTATAATTATACCATTCTTTACTATACAGTATAAAGCACTTACATAATTTACATATATTTATAAAGAACTTGAGGAAGTCTATTTGAAACGAGGAAATATACATTTCGTCAGATCTTTTTGCACTTTATAGATTTCAAATGTTCAATATGATATAAAAGATATTGTATCTTCGTTTGGTATAATTATTATGTCATTATGAAGATCCAGACACACCGGACGCGATTAGACAACGCGACGCGATTTTCCCATTTTTTTAAATCCTAGTTTAATAAAGTATCCAAAAATTTAGAAGAACTATAACATTTTGAGTTATTTGGTCTACATATCTCATTGGCTGTTTTATTAACCTTCAAAAACTAAAAATTCGCGTCGCGTTGTCGAATGCCATCCGCTGTGTCTGGACCTTTATTCAGCATGTCGACTAGTTGTGAAAGGAATGTATTATGCCAACAACACTGTTTGTAAATTAACTCTCTGGGCCGGCTCAACAGATTCCGATTAATTGGTCTACCGTTTACAAACGCTCGTGCTGAACAATCAACAAAGTTATACGTTTAACTTTATTTGATTTCAGAAGAAATAATATAATATAATATAATATAATATAATATAATATAATATAATATAATATAATATAATATAATATAATATAATATAATATAATATAATATAATATAATATAATATAATATAATATAATATAATATATTATAATATAATATAATATAATATAATATAATATAATATAATATAATATAATATAATATAATATAATATAATATAATATAATATAATATAATATAATATAATATAATATAATATAATATAATATAATATAATATAATATAATATAATACAATATAATAATCAGTAATAGTATACGTAATATATGTATTAACAAAGAAAAGAATGATAAAATACGGAATACAGTTAAAAAGGAAAAAACTAACTAAGAATGTTAAAAACTTAATTTTAAGAAAGAACGAAACATGTTCCGTGAACAATTGCCCTAATTGTAGAAAATGATTTAATCTAGTTATGAAATTCCAAGTTCAAGGGTTAATAATTAAATTACTTTCAGCAACCTCCGTTGCTATTCCCATGTCCGTATGACGGTGCCGACGCACTCTTGATCCTCTTATACAGGATATAGTTGATTTCATTAGAGCAAATGATATGTGACATCGCATCCAGGCTAATGTGGTATTGCATGTAAGGAGATTTCCGTTTGTTGGCCAAAAGTTTCGCTAATCTTTTATAAACCACTGTTGTTTCTCCGCTGGCACCTCCTGTTGTTGAAAAGACCAGTGGTGTAAAGGAACCATTTTCAACTTCCCTTATCCGATCGCCATATTCTCTCTTCTTATCTAGTTCATGTTTCCGGAATAAAGCTGCGACACTTTTGTCACGGTAGCTTGGCGCGTTGGGGTGAAAAACCCTAACATCAAAAAATGCGCTTTGCTGCCGTCCCCAAAGTCCGATAGTCTTAATATCGACCCGGGCATCTTCTCGTTTATTTGCGGAACGGGGAAGGATAATCTCTCCAGATAAGGGCTGCAATGGCGGTCCGGTTTCCGCCTCTCTGCATACTTCACTCATCCAATCAGCGGTAAGATCACGGATTTCGTTATGACGAGATATAGTCATTCCTCCGTGTGGGCATATCATGGCATGATCGGTCGACAAACTAGTCCCACATATGCAATATTGGGGAAGATTTTTCAGTTGCCATCCGTACCTGAGGCTCAACGCATCACGAAACTCGCCCTTGTTTAGACTGAAGCCTTGGTCTTTCAGTGGTAGGGCAGATAACCATGATGATGAACCTTTCAGCTCCAACAAATCCAAAGTCCGTTGCTTTAATTATAGACCTTTATAAAAAGGTTGACGTCAGCAGGCTTGTGACGTAGTTTGCGGAGGAAATCCCGAAAGCTCAGAGTTGTTTACTTGTTTTGAGTTTTTTTAAAGCCAAAAGAAGCCAGTATTATGGTAAGTTTGAAGCAAATTTTTCTATATATATATAGGCCAAATGAGTTTTCATATTCGTCGTATAAATTTTATTTATTTTTATATTAGATTGTACATTATTCTACTGTTATGAACATTTAGCAAACTGTCCGCTCGGTTTTCTTTTCTGTTTCTCAAATTCATCAGTGTATAAACAGCTCCGCTTTCGTTTCTGAAGATTTAAACTTTAAATCTCTACACTTCAGCCGAAATTTTAAGTTATTTTTGGTAGCTTTTTCAATATCAAAAGTTCACTTATAACAATAAGACCTCTTTGCGTGATCACTGAGCCTGTGTATTGCTGTCTACAGCTTGATTGGGGTCATTCTGATGATTAGACTGATGAATTTTAAAACAAAAAAGAAAAATTATACTTTTTAGCAACGAAATATATGTAAACAAACCGGGCGAAAAATTTGACATGTGACATTTGACTAAATGTTGACAGTAAAATAATGTACAATCTGATATAAAAATAAATAATATTTAAACTACAACGAATATGAAAACTCATTTGGCCTATATATAGAAAAATGTACTTCAAACTTACCATAATACTGGCTTCTTTTGGCTTTAAAAAAAACTCAAAACAAGTAAAAAACTCTGAGCTTTCGGGATTTCCTCCGCAAATACGTCACAAACCTGCTGACGTCAACCTTTTTATAAAGGTCTATTGGGGACAAGCTTTCTCTGACCTCCGTGGCTAGTTGCTGGTGGTACTGGTTCTTTTGCCTTCGCAGATCGGCTTTTATGTCGTGTAGATAAATTTTCTTATAAGTTGTCGTTTGGCTAACGATCATCTTCTTCAGAGGTTCAGTAATCTTTAATGATGCGTTATAATGACTATTCGCGACTTCAACAGGATTAACAAGGCTGAGTCCACCATGACGCGTTGGCAAAGAGAGTATTGTTCTTTCTACGCTGGAACAAGGTCCTCTGCCCGTTAAAGCCGGAATGAGTTTGGCCGAAATAGCGTTCTCCAACGGTTGAAACATGCTACCGATAATAATAATGATAATAATGATAGTGATAATAATGATAATAATGATAGTGATAATAATGATAGTGATAATAATGATAATAATGATAGTGATAATAATGATAGTGATAATAATGATAGTGATAATAATGATAGTGATAATAATGAAGGTGATAATGATGATGGTGATGATGATGGTGGTAATGACAATGGTGGTGGTAATGATGGTGGTGGTATAAATGATGATGGTGGTGGTATAAATGATGATGGTGGTGGTAATGATGATGATGGTGATGGTAATGATGATGATGGTGGTGGTAATGATGATGATGGTGGTGGTAATGATGATGATGGTGGTGGTAATGATGGTGGTGGTGGTCATAGTGATCAGGTTATGATGGTCATGGTGATGATAATGATTGTGATGAAGACTGATGTGAACATGATGAAAATTGCAATATCGTCAGGTCAATACAAACATTTCCTGGGGGAGGGTATGTGCACAAACCTTAAGATCACATGTTGTGTTCAAAAGCAAATTGCTTGGTTTTAAATCTCGATGCAGAACATTGGCCGAGTGAATATATTTCAAACCTCGGAGTATTTGGTATAGAAAATAACAAGTGTGATCATTGCTGAGTCGTTGTGATTTCAATAATTTATACAAATCTGTTTCCATCAATGTTTGCACAATATAGCTGTTGTTGGTATTAAGGAAATGTCTGGCAAGTCGTGCACAATTTTATTCTCCGACCACTTTTCCCTTATGTTTTCAACTGCTTCTTGCATTACTGATCATTTTTTATATGTGATATGTTTATTATCTTTGGCCCAATATACAGGGGTGGTCGCCTCCCCCAATAACTTTGAAAGACCTATAAAATTCTGGTACTAAATATCACAATTAACGTACACAATGATCAAGTTAGCCTTAAACGGACACTGAAACCCCTTTGGCATACATGTTGAAAATTTCGTCCCCCCCAATATTACATGAAGTGTCTGCCATTGGCAACATAAGTTTGTTGTTTATGCCGTTACTCTGAGTGTATATCCACACCGGGCAAACTTGGAAAATATGCCTAGCCACGGTGGGAATCGAACCTACGACCTTTGGAGGCCTTTGGAATACTAGCCCAATGCTCTGCCACCGTGGCCAGGCATATTTTTCAAGCTTGCCTGGTGTGGATATACACTCAGAGTAACATCACAAACATCATATTCACCTGAGTACATAACTGTAAACACCAACACAGAAAAATCATAAGTTTGTTTTTAGCATATATGCCTGATTTATTACTAGCTAAGTGTGATTTATGGAAACATGCAAAACACCAAGTCATTGATTATGTAATTGCAACACGTTCTAATGTGTCCTACCTTGTTATTTTACTCTGTTTAATGCCAGACGAGTTAGCTCATAGAGGGGAAAACTCTGCACCTCAATGGTTAACCCATTAAGTTGCATAATGCACCCTAATGCATCTATATCATTATCATTTTACTCTGTCTAACTCCAGATAATTTTGCACATCAAGAGGATCACACCAGTGCTCAATGGATTAATAATCAGACTATTTTGCAATAGATCTAATCAGATAATAATGTGATTAAGCCCCTTGCCACCCAAAATCACTTGAACAAACATACAGAACATACAGTAAATGCTTGGTTATACCAAATCGATTCATTTTTGTATGGTAACATTTTAAAACACATTGTGTATTGCAAGTTACAGAAATTGAACATCAGTTCGCAAGCTTTCTGGCTTCCACATTTTCCAATAACCATATAGATTATGGAGCAACTATCTCCCTAATCTATCTTTAGCCAGGCACTGACTCCCAAAGCAATTGGTCTGAATGTTACTGAATATACAATTCAAGGATTTGCCAGAGGCCAATATTTGCAATCAGTCTCTGGAAACATGCATGGCATTCTTGCAATTACATGTACAAAGTCATGCATGCATTTTACAGTACCTGTTGGCTTGCAGAAATATATATATTTGACTCTTGTATATATTTTCCACACAGACTAAACAAATGAACCATTATGGTGACCATCACTATAGCACAAAGGTTACTTATAACCTTAATGTTTTGAAACGTATATGTCAATAAATAAAGCGTCTTTATAGCGTAGAATCGACGAGAAGGGTGAATAGTTTATGTTCCGTTTTTAATTGCATATCTGTCCGCGATTCTGGGAGGATATCACCGTGTTACTGTAAACAAATTGTACAATATTAAAATACAATAGCGTTGTTTGCTGCACAGAAAAATGGTATGAGCAAGTATTGTATAACCAATAATAACTGCAGGAAATGATGGCAGATATAATTTGGCACAGACATTGTGTGTAAATTAATACAACTTTGTTTATTGCAATTGCCCGCTGAAGGTGACAAACTGCAAGGGATTTCGTCTGGGGAAGTAAACAAATTGTCACAATGCAGCCCAATTGTTTACAATTTGAGCAGCACACTGCAAACAAGTATAGGCCTTGAATTTTGGAGTTATTTTCGTGTCGTGTTCATGAATTTGATCGCCATCTGGTTTGCCGTCTGTCAAGCACCTACTCAGCCATATTGAATAACAAGTAGGCAAGGAAAAACGTATAAAGTATGTGCTCATATGTTTGCATCATCTTCCATTTGACAAACACAGAATGACAAATAGACTAAAAACACATTTACGCTCCAATACTGGAAGGCTTCCGTCTACATAACGTTTTAGAAAACCTATGCCGTATAAATATCTTAAACATATTAAAATGTACTTCAGTAAATAGTGTTCATTTCGCAGTCGGCAATTTGCCAAGAAGCAAACTTGTGGGGGATTTTATACTTTATATCCAAAAGATACAACACACAAAATACTGTTTTACCTTTCGAAAGAATGCGGACACGGAGTTTGTTTGTAAAGAATAAATAGGACATATAATGGCTTTATAGATCGATGGGTGGGTGGCTACTAGCTAGACTGTCTTAATACTGGCTGTCTATTATAATTTCTTAAAGGATACACGTCTTTGAGTTGATTCAAGTCCGGAGCACGTATGATATCCATAATATTAATGATCTACCAAAATAAAACAAGAGAATGCATAAGACAATTTCACTGGAAAGGGGGTTGTATATCCGCCGACCGGGCAACAAATATACCCAACTAGGCGGTAAGATATTTATCCATAGGAGAGCTAGCACACATTTATATCAGCATACGCACATTTTCATGCTTAAATCTCGTCAAGATCTTTATTTCTCTCAACGTTCGTTGGCAATAAGTTTGATGTTCGAATGGGCTGATTTTCTTGATCGCCACTCGCACCCCCAAACGGTTGTCCATCGCAGAGCTAGAGACAAAAAAACAAACAATTTTTATAGTGTTCCAAGCAGCGATTTACACCGATCTATTCGCACGAAATTTGCTACATTTTCGTTCTATTCGCCACTAATTGTTACATTGCTAATCGAACATACCAGACCATGCCGTATGCGCCTTCGCCAATATAGTTCAAGTTTGTATAACGGGGCGCGACGTCGAAAACTTGTCCACGGACAATTTCAGGATATGATCCCGCCATGATTGCAAAAGTGTTTTTTCGAGAGGAAGCGTGCTCACAGTTCTCCAACCCCCTTTTCTGTTTAGGGGTCACCACCCCCCTGACAGGCATTTCACCTGCAAAGGGCGGAGATCTCGCGATGAGATGTTGAATAAAATGAATTATTTAGTTTCTTTGTCTAAAAATGTTTCCTCATTAAAAAAAGAGCCAAAACAATATAGGTTTTCACACCATAAATGGAAGAACCATACGGCCCATGCAACTCAATGTGCACAATATAATTCGACCCCTAGACTTTCGCAAAGTCCCTCGCCTTTAATACGTCCTTATTTATTCGCGCTCGCTCGCGTTCGTTCTTTTCTCGCGCGTGTCCCTGGAGGTCGACTTGGAGCAAGTCTATTCGACCCCCTACAATAAACAAAACGATATGGAGAAAGATAAATATTTAAAGAGATGATAAGATTTTTCAAGTTTGTTTTTTTAATTACAGATTAGATGGGTTATCAATTTTATAAATATTATATTAAAAATTGAATTTTAATTTGATGTAGCCATGGGAATTGGGAAAAAGTAATGTTTAATTCATTCTCAATTGTTTTTAATTCAAATTTGTTGCCATAGCATATTAAACCTTTCGCAATTTAATAAATGCTGCCCAATATTTTTTTTTCAACATTTTATACGATTTCTATACATATAATCACAAGATTAGATCAGATTAAGATTAGTTTGTTGGATTACTGGATTAGGAAGAGATTTAAAGTTAAACCCTAGTTCCAGTCCTCTCGCGGTTTTTACAATTGAAAATTCTCGAAACTCTATTTTATATGAAACTGCAAGATTTTTGTTGGTTTTCTCGGGATTTTTCGAGGTTTCTTTTGTTTCTGATGGAAATATTACGACATGAAACTGGTTAACTCCAAAGTGTGGGGATTTTAAACAAGCAATTTCAATATTTTTAAGCTTTAATTAAACTTCTGGAAGGCAGGAAAGCTAGACCAGGTCTAGAATACCATATACTGTAGCTTTATAGCTGCAAGAATATAAACAAAACTCACTGAGTACTATGGGTAAAAGGTATTATTGTGAATACTGTGACAGACATTTTGCTGATTCTCCCGGCAATCGGAGGAAACATAAATGGCATCCAACACAAGCGAAACCGCAAAATGCATTATGATTCATTCAAAGGTACAGTATTGATACGTCTAGATGTCTAGCATTCACTGTCATTCCCATCTAAGGGGCTGTTTAGCCCGGTAAGCGAGATCTCAATGTGTAATTATTTTTACAGTGAAAATTATTGTTTATATGGACAAGCAGGCTGGCCCGGTGGCCAAGATCTCGCTAGAAAGAGACAAGATCTCACTTACCGGGGTGGAAATTTCTCCATGTATTAAAACACTTGCAAGCGGGCTGGTCCTGTTGCTGAGATAAAAGTTCAAAGATGCCGCGGCGAGCTATTATTAACAACTGCCAAAACAATGTCAAAACAACAAAATTGTCCATGCAAGTGGGATGAAATTTTCTCATATAAATGCAAGAGAAATTTATCCCGCTTACTGGGTCATATAAATAATACCCCAAAGGATGAACAATTGTTTTACTAACGCATATTTGGTGTTTGTTGTGGGTGATGTCGACAAAAGTATTAGACCACAGGACCATTGGTCCCAGAAAATTTTTTGAGTTCCCAGAAAATATTTCCCCAAGAAAGAAAAAACCCCGAGATAATTATAATAATTTAGATAAAACAATATATTCTTTGAATGTTTGCATGGCGATAAAATATAATTGTTTTTGTTTGTGGAAACACCACGTAAATTTATTACTGCAGTAATAAATGTATGTGGTTGTAGTATTTGTAGGATGCGATAAGTTAATAATTAACTTCGAAGCATGTAACAACGTTGATTGACATTTGTAATAAATCATCATTCAATCTATTCTATAATGGCGACGAGGATGTAAAAGTAAACAGCGTGAAAAATATAACAGAAAACTAGAATGGCGGCACAAAACATACAGCCTATGCCTGCTTTTGAACCAAGGAGTGATCCTACAAGTACAAGTGCGAGATGGACACGATGGCTGGAGAGATTCAACACATATTTACTCGCAGCAGATATTAAAGACGATGCGAGAAAGCGAGCTTTATTATTGTATCAGGCGGGGCCCGAAGTACATGAAATTTTCAAGACTCTAGAAGAGGGCGAAACCAAAGATTTTAAGTCAGCAGTGAAAGCGTTGACGGAGTATTTTGAACCAGAGAAAAACGTGATATATCGCACCTATGTTTTTAGACAAGCGACGCAAGGCAAAGAGGAATCAATCGACGAATTTCATACGCGTTTACGAGGCTTGGCAAAATATTGCGAATTTACAAACATAGATTTTGAAATTAAGATGCAGATTGTAACGAACGGCACTTCTTCAAGATTACGAAAGAAAGCACTACAAGACCCAAAATATAGTTTGGCAAACATGTTAATCGATGGACGAAAATACGAAACTAGTTCAGCGCAAGCCGTTGGGATCGAAGAACAATTCAAAACAAGGGAAAATATAAATGCAACTAATGCAATGGCTATGACAACGCCCACTGAGAAAAAGTGTTATTACTGCGGTTTCAAGTATCCACACGACAATCAACCGTGCCCAGCGAAGTCTGCTATTTGTAACCACTGCGGAATAAAGGGACACTTCGCTAAAGTCTGTCGAACACGAGGAAAATCTTTCGCAAGTAAGGGAACCCTTGAGAAATTACAAACGCAAGGTTTTACCTCCCCAGACAAAAGGCGCCAATCACGATGGGACGAGAATAAACAACGAAAACAACAAGCAAAGGCTGTCGGAATATCACAAAGCGAACCAAATACTGAAAGCTCGGAAGAAGAGGATTATGTTTACACAGTATCGCAAGAAACGAGGGAGAAAACACACGCGACCGTAAAAATAAATGGACAGGACGTTTTATTTTTGGTTGAC